GTGATCTCCAGTGGTACGATGTGAGTATGGGATGCTCTACGTTGATTCAGGTCATGGAGTCGGATTCAACATTTGGATAGTTTACCAACCGAGTACTGACAGTTCTTGTGAGGCAAACACATTTGGATAACTTATAGCACTTTAGAACAGATACAAGACCAATAACATTGTGAGTAATGCTGACAAAAGACATGTTTATTGAAGGTTTTGCCCTACGTTATCAGGACAACTTGCAGGAATACCAATTCAAGGGGAAAACGAGCATTCATACCACATGAGAGGAGAGTGCTGTTTGGTAGAGGTGTTGACAATTAACCACCCGGCTTTACTTAGATTTAAAACTAGATAGGTTGGCTTTGATTAGTCAGGGAATTGCCCTGTGAGATGAACCAGTCAGTAGCTGTCAATTATTTTATTGAGTTGAAGCAGGCACAGTGGGTTGATGTTTTCTTTCTATCTGCAAAGAACAGAGCCTGGTGCGGAGTCTTCTCCCCATCAGCAACTCTGCTGGAGCTATCCCTGTAGCTGCATGAGGAGTAGTCTTGTATTCAAACAGGAACCGGGACAGTTGTAGGCTGTTTCTTTAAGCCTACCTTCAAAGTTTAGACTGCACTTTTTGCCAGCCTATTGGATGATGGGTGGTACAGAGTTGTCTTGTATGTTGATGCCGCTCGGGGAGACCTCGCATGTCAATACCAGACCTTTCTTGGGATCACAGTGTGTTAGCACTTTAGAGGATGATAGCTGTTTCTTCACTTCCCTGCAAGCTACGGCTTGGCTACATGACCATTTCCAAGGCTGACCCCTGTTTTGGGAGTTGATGCAAAGGTACCAGGATAGAGGCCAGGTTATTTATGAACTTCCTGTAATAATTCACCAGTCCAAGAAATGAACTAAGTTCCTGGACGTGGGAGCTGGAGCATGTTTGATTACCCTCACTTTATCTTCTAATGGATTTAACCCAGTCTTGTTAACCCTGTCGTCCAAGTAGATTATTTGCAGGGCCTGGAACATGTATTTTTCCATTAGGTGTACACCCACCTTAGAAAAACACCTTAGGACTATATCCAAGTTCTCTAAGTGCTCCTTATTAGTTTTCCCTGTTATTAGAATGTCATCTAGGTAAATGGCAATCTGTGGTAGATCTTGCAAAATGCTCTCCATCGTCCACTGAAAATGGCTGACGATAACCCAAATGGCAGTCTTGTATATTGGTACAAGCCCTTATGGGTATTGATTTGTGGGATACTTCAGGGAGTCCTGGTCTAAATGCAATTGCAAATTACGCTTGGTTCATGTCGAGCTCTGTGATGGACAGGCCTCCCGCCAACTTTGCGTATAAATCCTCTATGCGAGGAATTGGGTATTTATCCAGCTGCGAAAAGTGATTTACCGTTTGTTTAGAATCTCCAGAAAGACAAACCGACATGTTGGGCTTCATAATCGGTATGAGTGGTGTTGCCCAGTCCACAAATTGGACTGGTTTGATGATCTTTTTCTTATTTTTGTCTGTAAGGCAGATGGCACTGGGTGCATCTTGCAGAATCGTGGAATTGCTGCCTGGGCAACATGCAAGGTGGCCTTGGCTCCTCTGATAGCCCATAGATCTTCCTGGAAGACTTTACTCAGGCAACCATTCTCTAATTGAAAAATGTTGAGCCAATCTAGGTGATTCTCTCATAACCAATTCCACCCTATCAAGCTTGGGCCCGAACTTTTTACTACAATCACTGCTAACTGAACCAGCTGCTTCTCATAAGAGATCAGAACCAATCGGTTAAATTGTTTAGCAGATGTTGGTGGACTTTCCAGGGTATGTACTCTCCTGGATACCAGCCTGTGAAGTATCTTACTGTAGTAGGACTCCTTTTTTTTTAAAAATAAATATATTGTTTTTGCTATTTTGAGTCCACATCCTGGCAGCAACTACAATGGGGTTTTCCAGCCAGTGCCCTGAAGGGAATTTTACACATTCGGTCGAGGCTTGGCTGTGTTTTGGGAATTTGCTGTGGGCCAACCTAGAGTCCTTCTGATAATGATGTGTCCTCAATGAGGCTGTTACAGTTGTCTGCACTCAAGTGATGTTCCCCAAGCTCAGTCAGAGTGGCGAGGGTATCTACTTCCATCGAAATACCCTGCAACTCCTGCTCTACTTGCTGCATTTTCCAATGATAAAGCCAGTCGTAGTGCCTGTCTGAAGTCCATTTGGGCTTCAGCTAGTAGGTGCTTTTGCAAAATTGCATCATTGATCCCACATACCAAATGGTCTCATTAAGGGTTAAACCAAAGGCTTTTGCCAATTGACTTAAACTAGTCAAAAATCCTGATACAGATTTCCCCAGTCCTTGAATTGCCAAGTAAAAGTGGTAGTGTCTCAGAATTAGAGGAGGCTTATGTTGTAATATTCCTTAACTATGTCCGTCAGATCTTGAAAGTTTTTTTTAAATGCCTGGTACTTCAGGAAAGGTAGGCTCCTAAAGACAAAAAAAGCTGCAGACCCACAGGCTATCAGGAGAATTGGTCATTTTTTATTTGCCACAATGTTGTTTGCCTGGAAAAATTTAACCCAATCTTTCTACATACTGGGCCCAGACTTCAATAGCAGGATCGAACGAGTCAAGCTTCCCAAACAAAGGTATGATGTAAGAATTGCTTATCCCAACTCAAGGATATCTGTTGTGAGTGAATTTCTTCAGGATCGTGGTCATATAGTTGTGTTGCATGACCATTGCCCTGTTTTAGATAAGGGCAGGAGCATTTTGCTGACTAATTACTATAGAATAGAGTGTTGCAGAACCACAGAGTGACTTGACCTCAGAAACAGTACTGAACACTGAAATAACTCTACAGAGGCTGGTATTCTGTCACCAAGACATCCTGTATATATACGTGACCAGTCCCTGATGTTGGTACTGCCTCATTCAGAGTCAGCTCTGAGTGTCAGTATCTCTGAAGCTTATCCTTTTTTATCTGTCAGCCAGGGCTCCCTGATTGGGGCTGTTAAACTGGTCCAGTTAGGAAAACTCATTCTGAGGTCCAGCTGACTGACCTCATTACAATCACTACAGTCACCAATCACTACCCCGTCCCATTTATGACTTGAGGGCAATTTGTAGCTACGTGTGTGAATGTGGGGATGTTGGATGATTTTTGTGAAATTTACATAATCTTGCATTGAAAAATTGTTGCTTTGGTAATTTCTTTGGCAACAGATATGAAAAGTAATTTAGATTAATCTATAAATGTACCATGAGAGCTATTTCCACGTCTTGGATGTCCTCGGTGACCATTTTATTTTGAATAGTTCTTCTTGCACTATTCACATTAAGAACATAGGTGGCTGGTGATGATATGTCATCATTGCTAATGTAAAGAAAGTCCATAGAATTTTAATGTTTTTGGTCATTTCTCATTAATGCTTGGTTTTTCAGACTTGGGAACAGGCAGTTTTACCTTCAGATACTATTTTAAACAAATTTACAGTGGCTCTAATGTTATAACCAGCTCCCTGATTTATTAGTGTTCCACACAGGATGTCCCACACTGTTAAGCTCCCAGGTGGAGAGGGATGAACTGGCCCCTACCTTATTTTACCCTACTCCTTTGGTTGGATACAGCAGATTGATTTCAAAAAATGTCACTTTCTTGAGGAGATAACACGAACTGCAGATGCTGGAGTCAGAGATAACGGTGTGGAGCTGGAGGAACAAAGCAAGCCAGGCAGCATCAGAGGAGCAGGGCAGTTGACGTTTCAGGTCTGAAGAAGGGTCCTGATCTGAAACGTTAGCTTTCCTGCTCCTCTGATGCTGCCTGGCCTGCTGTGTTTCTCCAGCCCCATACTGTGTTATCACTTTCTTGAGGATACTTTTCTCCTAGACTCAAACATCTGTTTACAAAGGAGCAAATCTAACCAGGCTTTAACAAGAAGTGAGTTTTATTACTATGTAAACCTAAGAATAATTAGTAGTGCAACAACCAAAAACATAGATCAGAAATGAGGTGAGTCCAAAAAGTGAGAAAGGAAGGTTCTATCAATCAGCCTCTCGATTGTTCGTGAAGAACAAATGAGACAGCTTTGTTTTTGGAGACAGGTTATTGGGTTGCACTGATAATGTTGATATTGGTGGGCGAATATAGCTCTCATGGTACATTTATAGATTAATCTAAATTCCTTTTCATATCTATTGCCAGAGAAGAAATGGGTTTTCAAGATTTGTGGTTTTGTAGGCTGATGAAAATTCCTTTATGCTAATTCTTATTAACTGGTCTGCAGCATTTGGAGTGAGAGGATGTTATTACCTGCAATGCAGGAGGACTTGGGGGGGAATAGTTCTTCAACTTTGAACTTCACAGCACATTAATGATAAAACCAGGCAGGTGCACATCGGTGCTTTCAGTCCCACTTTTCCACTCCAACAGAGTCGAAACTGGCATTTTTATGTGCTGTCCTTGTGTATTCTTCAAAAGGAAAAATGTAATCTTTGCTTTTTTAGGTAGCTTGCTGCTGAGCAGGGTGTCATCAGCTCCTTGTTACCTTTGGAGTCGCAAGACATCACCATACAGTCTGTTAGAAGTTTCTGTGATTATGTTTAGGTGTTACATCCCCTCAGTCCCACAGAATTGTTTTTACACCTGTAGTTATTGTCTCTGCTGCAATCCTGTTTTTCAAAAAACACACTCATTAGAATTGAGGTTTAAAAATGAATTACCAGATGGGGACTATGGAACTCCAAAATCTAGTCAAGACAATGTGCTTTGACCTACAGTACGGTAGCTGGTATATAATGCAAGGTCATACAGTCGTGTTGCAAGACCATTACCCTGTTTTAGATAAGGGCAGGAGCGTTCTGCTCACTAATTACCAACGAATAGAGTGTTGCAGAACCACAGAGTGACTTGTCCTCAGAAACAGTACCTAATGCTGAGAATATGCATGTGATTTTGTTTTGGTGTGAAATCCTATCCCGTTGGAAATACTCTTGTAATTTGTTCTGGGACAGGTGGAGAATGGTGCGGAGTACATCCTGGAAACAATTGACTCCTTACAGAAACACTCCTGGGTGGCTGACATTCAGGACTGCATGGATCCCGGGTAAGGGTCATTTTTCTGCTCCAATATCTGGATGTGCAGGAGGGTACTATGGAAATATTTCACATGAAAGAGCTAACTTGAGATGTGATTGATTATTGATTGCTATTATTTATTACAGACATATTTCATTTTGGTCAGTAAAATTAAATAGGTGACAGATTTAGAGGTTTGTACTCTGTTGTCGAGGCTGCTGATACACTGTCACCCATTTTGCGTTCCTGCTGAAGGTGAACGGGAACCCGTTTTGTTGCTGGTATATTGTTCAACTTCTAATAGTTTCACAGAGCAGCAGTCTGAGCTTTAGAAACCATTCCCAATGTAATTGATCTGAGGGGAACAGCAATTGAATTCTCGTTGTTCTTGCAAGAACTACATGTATCTGGAGGTTCAAGAATTTTATTATTGAAGGAGCTAGACAGTATGATACTGCAAGCAGCAGGAAACAATTCTATTGGCTTTACAACATAACTACATTGAAGTCTAACACTGACAAGCAGAGTCCAGCAAAAACACTTGACTGATGAGAGTAATGAAGGCCTCCTGCAAGAGGAGATGGTGATGCCAGTATGATGAGGCCAGAGGGCTTGTATCTTGTACTAATAAAGGGGCATCAGTGGGTTATACTCACCTGCAAGGGTGCACAATCACAAAGAATGAGCCTTTATTGATTTTCCACTATTTAAAATATGTTGGTGGTCAGCATCATTAGGGTTTTACAGGATTCTGGTAATAACTCCTATTAAATATTATTTAACAAAACCATGATCCTCTGTGTTCAAAGAGAAAATGATTTGAGTTGGTGTTGAACCCAGAAGGTTGTAGTATGGATGTTTCTGGGTCATCTTTTTTTTTTTCTTTAATCCTACATACTTTCTAAATTTCGGCTTAACCCCACTGTTAGGTTTTCACATTCTCATCCCCCTCTGATGTCTGGGCATTTTTGGGTATGTACCCATTAATATTATCATTAATAATAATGCCTTTTGTAACTGTTTTTATTGTTTGCTGCAACCAGCCTGTACAGGATTTTACTTGTGATTCACTGCAGGATTTCAGCAGTGATTCAGAAAAATAGAGTTTAATGAACAAGTGAATAAGTGAGTTATACTTCACTTAGATTTCCTGTACCATTTCCCGAAAAGGAAAAGAATGATCATTGACAACCGCTATCTTTTATTTTTATGCCTGCCTGCCTGTCTCCACAATTGCAAGATCTCAGAAGCACAGCTACAGCCACTGCTGAAACAACTTATTGCCATGGCATTGATGTTTCTGGCTTCCCAGATGTTCTCTTTCCCCAAAACTTTCCCTTTGAGAGATATTTTCTTGATTGGAAAACAAGAGGATGGTTATGGTTAGGTCAACTAGGTTGGGACTTTTTTTCCACTGCAGCGTGGGAGGTTGAGAGGTGACCTTTATAAAATCATAGATAAGTATAAATCAGTTGAATGACAGGTGTCTTTTCCCTAGGTTGAGAGATTTCAAGACTAGAGTCATATTTTTAAGGTGAGAGGTTTAAAAAAGACATGAGGGGCAATTTTTTTTTTAACACATTGGTTCATGTGTGGAATGAACTTCCAGAGGAAGTGGTGGATGAAGGTGCAGTTACAATATTTAAAAGACATTTAGATAAGTACATGAATAAGAAATGCTCGGAGGGATATGGGCCAAGTGAAGGCAGGTGGGACTACTTCAGTTTGGGATTATGATCAGCATGGACTGGTTGGACCGAAGGGTCTGTTTTCATGATGTATCACTCTAGATCTCTGTTATGCCTCTCACTCTGTGACTTGAGTATTGGCTTTCAGCCTCTACATGAAGAGTCTCCATCATCAAGCTCTTTTCAGTGGGAAAAATACAGACACTGGCTCTGTGGTCTTGCAGCCCCAGTTCCACTTGTCTTTTCTAGCTGGATTCCACCAGAACACTGTCTTTCCTGTCAACTACAATTCCAATGTCCCTTACCCCTCCGTTCAATTACTCATTCTTTTGGGGTACTGAGTCTTGGATCATGTCTTGAGTGTTGTTGCCACTTCTTCCAGCTGCTTGCCAGTGCTATCCAGGATTTATGGCTTCCCCTTTTGTCTAACAATGATCCTCCTTGTGATCTCTGTCATGGTATTCTGTATTCTAAAGAAGAGCCAAAAATACAACATGTTGGCAGTGGTGCACAATGTGATTTCTGTGGTTTACATTTTATGCCAATAATTAGTAATCTAAACAAAGTGCTCTTTATTCAAGGAGTTCAGGAGAGCTCTTCGTCCACATTATATGCTGATCTATGCTGTTCCAACCATTGTACCGCATGCTAATGTGTATCATCTCCTGTGATAATATGTAGCAGTTTGTCAATCCATTTAATCAGTTTGTTAAACTATATGTACTGAAGCACAGCACAGTTCCCACATTCTATAGCTATAACCTAGCCTGCTATCTTTATTTTGCTTCTTGAATAATTAATTAGGTTTTGAAGTCACTCAACAATTAGCTATAGTTATGGAGTTTAATTAGTTATGTTATAAAGTTAAGAATTAAATTGATACAGGGAGATACTAATATAAACTTCTACCCCAGTTTAGAGGGCAGAAGGAAAACTTAACACTCATTAACCATCAATCTGCACTCCTAATTATTGCCTCCAAGCTTCAACTCCTGAACCTTGTTGTGTCTGGTTCCCTCTCTTGGACTTTTCCTTTTGTGAAGGCCAGAACTGCCCTCCTTCCTCATTGCAGCAAATTGCCTCATTTGCCATATTCGAGGACAGAAACATCCAGTCCCACTTCACTCAGTCTCCACTGCCACCTTTGAACAATTTTCTTCATGCACTGCCAAACCTTCTGTGTTTACAGCAGCTCAGATTCCATTAAGGATTTGAATAGTTCTTAGCCTGTTTCTAAAGGGAAATCCAGTCATACAGACAAATGAGCTACTCACATTGCATTCTGTATGTAGTCATAGAGACAAATGAATGATCTTCACAATACATGTTTTTATTTTGACTGGACTTAATCTCAAGTGTGTCTGCTTTTTAAACAGTATTTTGACTGAATTAAAGAACTGTATCAAAAGGGAACTAAAGAGTAATGTTTCAAAGCATCCAAATTCCCACAGAGTCATCAGGAATCTGGTGTTTATAAAACATGAGTAAATAGAAACCTTTTATCCAAACCCTCACTAAAAAGATGATCCACTCCTTCCGGAATTGCCCTCCTTTCAGATTCATGCCTTTTTGTTGTTCTTGACTACATTTTTTTGTCTCATTTTGTCAGTTTGCTGTTTATTTGTAAAATTTTCACTGATTCAGAATAATTGATTTTAATTCATTTTGACACCGCACACACATGCAAACTTCCACTCGCTCTGTCATTCTCTCTCACTCTCCTAATCAGCAACTTTCTGACATACCAAGATCTAGTAACTCTTCAGATATTTTCAACAACACACTGATGAATTAGAATAGTAGCAATTTAATGTTATCGTCACACAATGGGCTTTATCTGATCCACATATCCATCTCTTATCTTACATTATTCTGTTCTTGTTCAGCGTTCACAATTTCCTGACAGTTTTTATGAATATTTTCATAAACAACCCTGCCCTTTTGCATCTTCAGCCTTGACCTCTAAATATTCCTTGTAAGCGTTCTGTTTGTGTTGAAATATATTGTACAAATCTCTGTACTTATCTGCCGTAGTTATGTGACCTCCACCATAAGGCACATGCCCTGTAGGCGGACATCTTGCATTTCACTTAAATGAACTCCTTATGTTGAATGCATTGCTGTATTGTATGGTTTCTGAAGTAGGACATTTCCAAAGCGGAAATAAAAAGAAACACCGTTGTAGAGATGTGAGCTGCTACTGGGGGGAGAAAAAGAAAAAAAAGACAAAGTTCACAGCTTAAGGAAAATGCCTGCAATTTTCCCCTATCGGCTTCTGTTGAAATTACTGGGATTATTAGTCAAAATAGGAAATTCTTCCATGTGTAATAGCAGAATTATGCAATAGCTACAGATTTTTGAAAATGGATGAAACTTTAAAACCTTTGAAGACACACTTTGAGCTTCAAGTGACCATTTCATATGAACAGTACATATTCAGTGTTGGGGAACAAAATGAAAAAGAGTCCATTGATCGATATATACCATCGGTAACTCAGTTTACAGAAACCTGTGAACTTGTGCAATTAATTGATGAACTAATTGGAGACAGGATTGTATGAAGAATAGGGGATCCAAAAGGGAAAGCGCACCTACTGAAAGAAGACCCAACGTGGAAAGCTCAGAGTATACATTAACTTGAGGGATTGAAATAAGGCCCTGAAGAGATCCCACTACCGCATGCCAATCATTGAGAAGTTTTGCTGCAATTTGCAAAGTCTTTGCCACCTTACATGGGAAAGATGGTTACTGGCAAGCAAAGCTAAACGAAAGCAACAGCCTTCTCCCTCATAGTGGTGTGGTGTTGGTGGAGGCGAAATGGCACTGAAGAGTGGTGATTTTTCATTCCAGCGACAGCAGTGCAGTGAAGGGAACTCGTGCCTTGTCACCAGGCTCATGACAGAGCACTTAACAAGTTTGACTGAAAAGTGGAATACTTTTTCCCTTTATTTTTATTTTTCTGCCTTTATATTCTACGTTTTGGTTTGTTCTTCTGTGTTTTAAGATGGCATTGGAGAATGACGACACCATACAGCACTTTTCACTGTATTTTGTAACAAAATAAACGTGACAATAAATGAATTAAATCAAATCAAACTATATCTGGACACCCTTCAGGAGATACAGTAGGATGCATGTGCTATTTGGTATTTCTGCTGCTCTGGAGAAATATCAAAGCAGATATTATGAGAGGAGAAATGCTAAAATGCATCCATTCAAGTCAGCAAAGAATTGAATCAGGTCTGAGGAAGGCAAGAGATGTGCTGTACTGGCCAAAAGTGAGTAACAAGATTGAGGAGTACATCAGCCAGTGCAGTGCTTGTAATGTGTAATGAGCTAAGCAAGCTAGAGAGCCACTGTTGACCCATAACATCCCAAACAGATCATGGATAAAGCTGGGAGTAGATCTCCTCATATTCACATGAACTGATTATCTTGTCACAGTAGACTACAATTCAGATTACTGAGACATGAACTAGTTGACTTCAAGGATTACTGTCAAATTGTTGAATGCTTAAAAGCACACTTCAGCTGTTATGGCATTACCAACATTGTCGTCAGTGATAATAGTCCTTAGTTTACGAGTGAACAGCACACGTCATCTCCACGCTATCCCCAGTCAAATGGAAAGACTGAAGCAGGAAGGAAGATTGTGAAAGGACTCGAAATTGAGCAAATCTCTCACAGATTGACACAAGGCAATAATTGAAATGGAGTAATAAATCTAGTGAAGACATGAATAGTAGTCCAGTACAAAGACTAATATCATATGACACACAAACTACTGTTCAAATAGCTAAAAACCAACTGAAACCAAGTGAAATGACAAATCAAATTTTGTTTTAACAAGATTGCAAAATTATTGCCAGAATTGCGTTGCCAGTCAGAGGACAAACATTCGACAATCTCAGCAAAAACCATGTGTGGCAGCTCCAAGAGGTCCAGGAGCTTTTTCCAAGAGGGGTCCAGTGAATTTTAGTGGAAGAGGTGTAAGAGGCAAATGGTCTTCTCTGTCCTGCCCACAAGTTTGAGGATCAGTCAGGGAGCTATTTGAGATAGGACCTCATTGATTGACCCCTAACAATCACAATCATCTTCGTAAATGGTCTACCCCATATCCTTAGAATGTGACCGCTAGTTCTGAACTCCCCAGTCATCAGGAACATTCCTCCTGCATTTAGTCTGTTTGTGCTGTGGGTCTTCATGTAACTGAATAGGCTAATCCTCTCAGGACAGAGGGCAGGACATCGCATGAGGTAATGGGATACGGAAGGTAGGCTATGCTTCCTGTTCCATTTCCACTCCGCGTGATCATTCAGGAGTTTGGATTCGAACTGTGGGGCAGCTTTACTATATATGTTGTCAACAAATTGAATGATAGTGGAACAATGTTCCCTGTAATGATGATTTTGTGCTGTGTGGATCTCCGAGATCCATGCATGGCACCAGCTTTCAGAAGTGGAAATCAGTGCAGAGAATGGCGCCAGTATGCTGAATGGCTGTGTGGCCACGCGACAGAACAGTGTAGCGGCTCTGGTAAAGGGCTAAGAAAACATGGGGGAGCTGGCGGGATTGTCATTGTCCACACAGTCTTGGTGAATTGATCATAGTTCAGTAACGTATTAGACAGCAATGAATGGGAGCAACTTCCCACTGGAACCTTATTCCATTTTCACGACCCGCAAGGCCTAGTCTTCCTTCCTCTGTATTGCTTTGAAGGGATTCTTGGAATGACTGTGTGGTGATCCGCCCCTGACTAGAGGTGCTTCTCCCATGAGCAAGAACTTTCTGACAGCGTTGCTGAAGGGATTGTCAGAGGGCGCAGTGCCATCTGATGGCTGTTCTATATCTCTCCTCAGCTGATGTTCTAAATTGCATGAGCTCTCTATATTAAACAGGACAGGTGTCTGACATGGGCTTCATGATAAACCCTGGAGGAAACCCACTTATCAACATGAGTTGGGTGCCTTTGCAACACTGCTTCAGTCACCCTACCCCAAGAGTCTCTGGGAGTCTTTTCCAAGTGGGGTGAAATGTACTTTAGTGGAGGAGGTGCAAGAGCCATACAGTCTTCCCTGTCCTGACCAACAAGCTTGAGGATCACTCCAGGAAATCTTTCAGATAGGACCTCATTAGTTCCATAACGTGTTGCCACTCAGAACAGTAATTGTAATGAAGCCATATCCAGCAGCAGGGCGTGGGCGATAGTGGTACCTTCAGGGTCTATAATCTCACTTACTGGAGAGGAAACGGGAACCGGTCTCTTATAGAAAGTCACAGGGAAGTGACGGGCTCTAATCATTCAATGGTGCTATGACAGATAATGACCGACATCCCCAGTGCACTAGAACTATGTACTTCCATTGCTGAGACTTCTGGTTTATTGCTACTTTAAATATATACAGGTTTCTGTACTATGTGTGGATTAATTTTCTCCCGACTTATGTATGATTTTATAATTTTTCCACGTACACTGGGTTTGTGTTTTCTGATGTAGCTCCTAAAGGTTTGGCCCAAGTTGACCCAGCCGTAACTCCAGCCCAGTTTTAGGACCCAGGGTCATGGTAGCATTTGGCAGCAAATAGGAGGCTGCCAGTAGGAAGCCCCAGATATTGCAGGGTCTCCAACACCAGATCACCCACCAGGATCTGGGACACTTAAAGCCTCTGGTCAAGCTGGAGAGCCAATTTGGCCAAGGGTTCAAAGGCCTTGGAGAGGTGTTTATGGCTAAATTGGAAATCACCCCAAGGCCCTCTGCCTCAAGGGCAGCATGGTGTCTCAGTGGCTAGCACCACTACCTTGGAGCTCCAGGGACCTGGGTTCGATTCCAGCCTCTGGCAACTGTCCATGTGGAGTTTTCACATTTTCCCGCCGTGCTCCCATTTCCCCCCACAGTCCAGAGCTGTGTAGGTGAGGTGGATTGGACATTGTAATGGGATAGGGTGGGGAAGGTGGGAATGTCTTTGGAGGGTTGGTGTAAACCCAATGGGCCAAATGGCCTCTTTCTGCACTCTAGGGATTCTATGATTCTTGGTTCAGGGTCTTCACATCACATTCTTGGGGAAACTTGTCAGGCTATTCCTGGAGAATCCTGATCACTAGCAGCGGGAGTGGTGAGTGGGAGGCAAATGGCTTTACCCCCACTCATTGACCTGTGCACACAGTGAGTATGGAAAAGTTGAGGAGAGGGTTCATCAGATTAGCCTACAATGGAGTGCATAATCTTCCTGCTGTTTCCAACACAGCCTCACTCAAATCTAGGCCAATCTCATCCACATGGTTATTGCTCATCTTTTTTGTAAGAATTCACATTAAATCTTAAAACACAGCTATTTCCATATGCAAAGCTTAAGTTTACTCAAATCCAAATGCTTTGTCTGAATTTTGCTTCCCTTCCCTTGCAGTGACAGTGAAGAGGACTTGGAGCTGACTTCTTGTTCACATGCAGTGAGCATGCCCAGTAGAGAATTACCTGCAATTCCTCCTTGCAGTTGTGACTTTCTACCAGATGGTAAGTGTTTGTGGTCCCTCTTCCTGTCAGCCTCCCTTAGAACTGGCTGGGTCTGCAACTCAGGAAGTATTTTTGTTGGATCAGTTAGCACTCCATGATTGAATGACGAGGATTGGGATCTCAAAACTTGGAGAGGGAGAGAGAGAAAGATTTTCACTGTGTTTCCTGGGTGTACAGTGGGCTTGGCAGATTCTTTGTCCACTTTAGAAAGCTCCAGTTGTCCAGATACCAATCCTTGTTGCATACACTACCAAATTCATACCCTGTTGGCAAGTCAAACATCAAATCCAGATCTCACAATGTGACAAAATAATTATATTGATCCAATCCAGATAAAAATATCTGATCATGGTAATTTTGTATTTGGAAACTAAATCTAATTCTTACTTAGACCAAAAGCCTTTCTCAGCTGGAAGCCTGTAGGATGGTCCAAAGTCTAGATTGCCAGGCACAACTACGATTAACATGTTGCAAAGGCAGGAGGAGAGAAATCTGAGATAACCGTGTAGAGCTGGAGGAACACAGCAGGTCAGGCAGCATCAGAGGAGCAGGAAAGCTGACGTTTCAAATCGGGACCCTTCAGAAATCTGCTCATTTTGTGATATATGTACATCTGTCAATCAGTGTGACAGATAAATGGTTTCCACTGGTCACCATGACTGCAGGTGTTTGGAGAGGTTGGTTACTGAGTCTGTTTTACTCGTGTAGATCTTGTTCACTGCAGCTGGGTGTTTCCAATGGGAAATGTGAAAGGTATCATAGAGTGATGATAAATACATTTCTGTATCCACTGAAAGCAGGCATATGGAAAGCGGTCCTAGGAGTCCGAGTCATAAGATCATGGTTGCACACAAACGTACATCAACACTGTATCAAATGTTATCAAAGACTGAAGACCCTATACTGACAGTAAACAAGACCAACATGATATACAGAATACCATGTAGCGAGTGCAATAAACATTACATTGGACAAACAGGGAGAAAACTGATGACCAGAATACACAAACACCAGCTGATGTTAAAAAGACACGACCAATATTTAGAGATAACAAGGTGTAGAGCTGGATGAACACAGCAGGCCAAGCAGCATCAGACGAGCAGGAAAGCTGATGTTTCAGGTCTAGACCCTTCTTCAGAAAATCAGAAAATTTTCTGAAGAAGGGT